GTGGAATGAGTTGTTCTCGCGGTCGTAAAATAACTTCTTAAATCATACCAACACCGTTGTTGTAATATTCTCTGACAAAAAATTCTAAAAAAGCACCAGAGAGATGAGACTCGTGGAGGTCTGGGCTCTATGTCCCTCCCATTGGATCAACAGAGAAGCAACCCGTTCAAGTAAGCGAAGTACGCTTCCGGGGGAATCGATCTGACTGGAGGCCTGGTACCCGCAAGCTGACTCTTCTGTCAGGGACCCAAGCGTTTCCTCGCCTTTAAGCTACAGTGGGGGTCAGAACCCAGCCACGGTCTACGGCCACGCCACCCTGAACGTGCCCGATTCCGTCTGATCTCGGAAGCTAAGCAGGGTCGGCCTGGTTAGTACTTGGATGGGAGACCACCTAGGAAGACCAGGTGCTGTAGGCAGGGAGGGAGGGAGGGAGGAAGGGACTCAGCCGTAATGTGCCCAGTTAGCAAGTCCCCATCCCTCCCCAGGGAGGGCGGGGCAGAGGGCTGCCCCCCACATGGTGGGTGTGTATTCCCCACGTCAACGGCAGGACTTGGAGCAGCGCCCTGGAGCAGGGGAGGGACTCAGACCTGCAGCACAGCCCTCGGGATGCTTGCTCCAGTCAAGGGGCTGGGGGACCGCCCTGGGGGCCGAGGGTGGGCCCTCGTCAGGTCCCCTGGATGGAAAAGCAGAGCACAGACTTGCTGCAGTCTCGCGGGCCGGGAGGCCCCGGGGCCAGGCCTTTCCCATGGAGCTGACAGCGCCTACTGTGACTCCTTGCTCATTTGGAATTCGCTGCCAATCCTTACGTCCAACAGGAAAAACAAACTATCTGCCTGGAGAAAATTTTCTCCCTGTTTCTTGGACCATAGCATTTAACATATGCTTATTTCAGAAATGACAGTCAATTTGCCACGGTTTTCAAAAAGTGCAGCAATAGTCTTGCCAACAATGGGGAAAGAAGATGAGAGGAAAAGTGGAAATCGAGTTGCTAAAAGATGATGATTGAACTTTTTATGGTAAAAAACATATATATGTTTCTGAATATGTTGTTCTTCCTCAACCCCCTAAGGAGATTGAGAGAATCTATATCATTTAAGAACTAAAATTTTCCAGTTGGACGACAAGCTAGCGTTGATATCTTTCTCCTGCTTTTACTTATGACAACTAGGCCTTTACTATGTCTCTTTGTTAAAAGGGTCCCAAGCTACGAGATGTTAGACTGTTTTAATAAGCATCCAGATCCCCGGTGGGGACACCAAGGGGGAAACTCTGGGTGAGACACGGCTCAGCAACCAGGAGCCCAGCCGCTCCCATCTGCCTGTTCCCGGCAGCAGGCCGCGTGGTCAGCAGAGGGGCTGAGCATCACACCGACCCGGGTGCCACCTCAGCTCTGTCACTCCTGGAGGGGCCTTAGGCAGGTCCCTGCACTATGTCACAGGCCATCGTGAACGCACGGTGATCACCTCAGCTCTGTCACTCCTGGAGGGGCCTTAGGCGGGTCCCTGCACTGCTGTGTCACAGGCCATCGTGAACGCACGGTGACGGGAGGGCCGCGTGCAGCGGGTGCATAAAGCATCCGCGGTGCACAGCCAACAACGAGAGAGAGCTACTACAGTCTGAGAAAATGAAACCGAAGTGACGACTCCATCCCGGGGTACACTAAGCTAAAGCCAGGGGATATGCCCCTGGACGGCGGAAACCTGCAGAGATTCACGACTTCGGGTTTTTGTCGCGAGGCTGTGGAACGCAACGCCGCGGGCCGGCCTCTCCGTTTTGTTAGAGCTATGGACAAAGGCTGGCAAACAGTGACCAGAAACAACCTCGAGCATGAACGTTAGCCACACGGCAGGCGAGGGTCCTTTCTCGTCACATTTATCCCTGCTCTACCTTTTCACCGATCAGGCAGCTTGCGTATCACATCCTCTCCTGGAGACGCTATTTGAAGCACCATGGTTAGTTGCTACGTCACCTTTAACCTTGAGACTACCTCGCTTGTTTACGTGTTTTAGAAAATTCTATTACGCACTGTATGCTTATAGGAAATTGAGTGTTAAAAATATTTAATCCATTAATACTGACTGTATTGATCCTGTTATAATGAACTCAACCAGTATAAGCACTGTTCAGATCCTCTTGGAGTTAGAAAAAATCACTCCTTTTCCTTCTTGAATCAATAACGGCACAAATAAACCGTACACCATCATTAAAACAAAAGCCTACGTAACACGGACCGCAGAAAGGTGACCCGTGCTCTAGATGCTGTTATTACCACTGGAGCCTCCGCCGCCGTGGCGACGCTGGCCGGGTAGCTCCTCGGAGTTGTCCCTCCTGTCTCCAGA